TATTAGTCATTTCGTATTTTATAGTTACTACATATAGTTGTTGTACACAGTACAGAGAGGAGTACAATCTCATTTTTTTATTACCACTATAAAATAAAGAAAAAATGGTCATAGTTGAGTTGCAATCTTTATAAAGACAGGCCCACGGGGGCCTCAGAACAGGCTCCGTGGCCTGGTGGCAAATGCTCTCGCTTCACAAGATGAGGGTCCGGGTTCAATTCCCAGAGAAGGGGTGGAAACATTGGACGTGTTTCCCTACACCGGTTGTCTATGTTCACCCACCAGTAAAATGTTATTCGACTGGTGTGGGTCGCATCCTGGGACAAAGCCGACCTAGGAGGCCTGGTCTCAGACCGGGCCGCGGGGGCGTTGACCCCCGGAACTCTCTCCAGGTAAACTCCAGGTAATTTGCCCGAAATGCTCAGCATAACAAGTGGCTTTCTATATAGTAGTATGTCATTGATGTCAGCTAGACCTGAATACCTAGTACATGTACTTGTAGTAAATGAATACATTATTATTATTATTATTTTTATTAACAATGAGAGATATTTTTGTCATGTCCTGTAAGATTTGCATGGAGGTGTCTCTGAAAAACTGGATGCTCCCGTGTGTGGCCCTGTCTATGTCCACACACTTTGCATTTTATGTCACTGACATCTACAAAGCACACTGCCAGAGATACATCCTAGCCTTAGTCTAACAGTAATAACGTCTTGCAATCTACTGACCTTGTTACTTTCTCCATAGGTAAGTTTGACTCGATACATTTCATCTTGATGGATAATGGATATAATAGTTCCTATCTGTACTGTTCTACTTTCTTCATGCTCGTTTGGTAGTTCCTTACTGATAATGTTTAATAAACTTCTGTTTGAAAAACCAAAGTTATACTTAACATTCTTTTTATTTAATGCTTGTTATTAGCTAATACATCAACTTTGTTATGTTTTTGGAGGATCGTGTGAGAAGGAATCCACTGAAGCTTAACTGTGATCCCTTTCTTAATAATTTGTGTATATCTGTCTAGCTTCATACACTGGCGAGGAGTTAGCCGAGGTCCCAGTGTGAGGTCTTGGGACCTGTGACCAGAAGCTGACTAGTCTCTTAGGAATGATCTGTTTCAAGGACTCTATACTATAAGTGAATATTCACTGAGGTTCAGTTTATTGTATTCCCTGGTCTCAACATTTTTGCATTCCCCTTATCTTAATATCCAACGCCTTTTTCTATGACCAAGTATGCTGTTGAATAAGTATTAATAAATTGTAACTGACTGGAATAATGTATTCACTTTCCTTATCTTTAATTTGTTATTGAATATTACTTAAGTGGTAAGGTAAAAAGTTAAATGTGAATTAAGTAAAGTGCCCAGTAGTGTGTAGTGAGGTGAGGTGGAGTACTGGTGTACTCTGGTATACCACAGCATGGGAAGGAAGTATCATGTAAAACATTTTAACAACGGCAAAATAATAAATTTACCATACGAGTCGATACGATGCACTGCATATTCGCAGTTGTGTTTTTTGAGAACAAATCTGGACGTAAGTACTTGTGTTATTCAACAATCACTGGTCGGCTAAACTGTTTTGAACGCTAGTTATTTGGATACCCAGAGACTGGAAGCATGTCAGTGAAAACATTTCATCACACGAGCAGTCTTCATGTCATTCATATTCTATGTAACCAAGTGTGCAAAGATAGAAGACCGCTATGACCATGTTATTCACAATCTTACTGGTGAGTTGACAAATAACTGGAGAACGGTAGTGAAGCGCTTGGTTGGTGTAATAATATTCCTTCAGAGACAATTAAACAATTGATTCTGTATACAGTTGAAATTTAGTATACTGGCAGCGATTCTAGAATATATATAACATTCTTGGCACTACCCATTCAGATTATAGCTTACGATGGCAAGTAATATACGAGCTTTTAGTTAACACGATTAGGAGGAGTTATTTCACATCACGCAACAAAATATTTAGATGTTCTGATAAATACCACCCCTCAAGGGAGGTTTTTTGATGCTGGTGAGGGGCTCTTGATCTAGGGAATTTGATCTGTGCTCCAGTTTCCTGAATTGGGCCTGAATGCCCCCCATCCCTCCCACATGCCCTGTATAATCCTACGGGTTTAGCGCTCCCCCATGATTATAATACTAATAATCTGATAAATACTGTAGTTAGAGCTGAAAATTCTGTTCATTATGTGCTGATTCTTTCAATGGCAACGTTTATGTTGATCTTCCTTTCATTCTGCGACGCGACACGTCGAAGGAAATAAACTTGTGATGAAATGACAAAGTTATTAAAAATTTCTTCATAGAGATATACTCCATTTAGAGGAGCGATGACTGAGACACGTGATGTTTCACTCATCAGGTAACTTTCATCGGTCTAATACAGAGACATGGAAAAGAAAACTTGGCTAATCTTGGTTGATTAATGGAGTTAAAATGTATCAACCACACGTAATCTTTTCATCACCATACAAGAATGACGACACCATACAAGAATACTTTAATCCCTAAAATAGGGATTAAAGTAAACTCTCATCATATATACGCTGAGACAAATAAACCTCGCATGGTATTGTATACCATTGTCATATGACAATGGTATACAATACTAGCAGGTTGATAAGTAAGACCCATGTGCAACAGTTAGGTATCTTTATACCGAAACGTTTCTCAGTGGTTGCAGTCTTTCTTCTACTAGTTGGATGCGCTTCACCTTTGACAGTAAGTCTCCATACTGTAGCTTCAACTTCACATTGTTCCAGACTATGGAGCAAAATTCTTCTTTCGGCTGAGGGACTGACCACCTCAAAACTACATCTTCAAGGGTGATGGGCTGATTACATCGTCTTACTGCTTCTGCTAACTCTTCTGTACTCGACTGAAGAAGCGTACTATGTAGGCGAAACGTTTCGGAGTAAAGACACTATTGCACATGTATCTTATCAAACTTCGCTGTGTAATGTATCCTGTGACCCGTCGTTTGACGTTCTTGCCTTTCCTCAGTC